GCCTGAGGTGTACAGGAATTGATGAATTAAGAAACATTTGCTCGTGCGCTCACGCACGTGCACTCTCGTACATGCAATCAGCAGCAAACCCCATCACAGTGCGATCAGGCAGCCCCATCAATCTTTATTACTGCAGCTCCACGCCAGACATGAAGCGCAGACACACACATGAAGCCACATATCTTTCCTCAATTTTTTTCCACCTCCCCCTCTCATTCTCTCTTTTCTCCTTGTTTTTCTCCTTACAGAGAAGCAAGAGCCTCTCCTGGTTTGGAGTCGACAGGACATTTATCAGATGAACCCATTTTATATTACCTTGAGATGAAAAGCACAGTGACCTCAGCTCATATAATCTACAATAATGTGGGTTTATTGAAAAAAAAAGGGGGTTGTGAAAGGTTGTCTCTCTGAAACAGACAAATGTTCTTTTATTTTACTGCTGGCGTTTTGTGCATAATGTTCGAAAATAGCAGAATTTCTTCCCTTGCAAGAGGTGTTAATTGGTTTATCCTGAGATCTGTGATTAACAACTGGCTGGCTGTGAATATGGTAATAAGAGAGGCTGACTCTGCCTGTGGATGTTGTTTGAAAGGTGAAAAAAAATGTGTTGCTGCTTCAATTTAAATCTAATATGATTTTTGCCGAGCACAGTGCTGTTTGTGTGTGCGTCACCTGATGAAGATGATTTTCTCCTTTTGCGCTCGGCTGAGTCAACACTGTCCAAATAATTACATTTATCACTGACAAAAACGCCTGCTCTTGTTTCTAATCATCATAGTTACCTTTCCTGAAACTGATTGTAAATTGGAGAAGTAATGGACTTATGACGTGAGTATTTGGGTTTTTGTTTCAAAAGGATGGCAAGTTCCTACCATATAGTTAAAGAAAAAATAAAGTTTATGTCTAAATCTGCTGAGTATTTGGGTTTTTGTTTCAAAAGGATGGCAAGTTCCTACCATATAGTTAAAGAAAAAATAAAGTTTATGTCTAAATCTGCCAGCTCTTTTCAAACTTTTAATAATAAAAAACGGTGCAGGGGACAACGAAAGCATTCAAGAGGGCAGCCATGAAGTTTAACTTGGACCCAAGCATTCAAATGGACAAGAGGCAGTTCTCTGATTATTATTGGATTTGGCAAACTGACTAAAAGCAGTAAGAGTTTAAACTGATTTAATGTCTTGACGTGAGAAATAAATGGATTGTGTGTCTTTTTCAAACAGTAAATGTAAATATCTGGCTTCAGCTGTAAGCGACATGAATCAAAAGTAATAAAAAAAACACTATTAGCCATAATTGTCTGCCTACTGTATGACTGCGTGTGATTAAAAAAAAAAAAACATCTTCTATGCTAATTGTAGAATAGCTTATTGAACTGAGACACAAAGACACATTTCACCAACAGCTCAACCTTTAGACAAATTTGTATTTATTCCTTTATTCAAAAAATTTGAGGCAATAATTCACTTCATACTCTATACAGCACAGTAATACATTTTGATACATTCATGAGGCTGAAAAAAATGTTTAATTATGCAAGCCTGTACAGTCACATAAAACAGTTTTAAATACTGCCATGGAGAGAAATAAAAAGAAAGTACTTCTGTAGAAAATCACAATCCCATAAAACACTGAACTGAAATGCAAGAAGCTTCATTTGCACATTCAGGTATATATAACAATGACAGTGTGCTGTGTGTATTCATCTTCGTCTTATATTAAATACGTCATAGGTTTTATATGTTACTAGTTCTATGGCACAAACTGATTTAAAGCTTCAGTCTAAGACAAGCTTTATTTGTGCGTACACTTGTTCACCCACGCACACAGTCACTCACTCTGAGGAGCTGAGCTAGAAGAGAGAGAAAGAGAGGAAACTGAGGATGTGTAGGAGAGAAAATACAATTTACCCCTCTCATTGATCTATGCTTGGTTATCTTCTTAATATCAGGCTCCAGAAAATATAAAGCCCCTGTTTTTTTCCCCTCATACTGGGAAATATTTCTTGGCAATGACCTCCCCTCCCACACTTGTTCCCATCCTCTATGAGAGACCTCGCCTTGCAGAGTGGAGATGACTGCTGGATGTTACACTTAACCACTGTTTTGGTTTCCCAGCATGTCTGCCTCCAGCATGGCATTAAGGTGCGAGTCCCTCACAAATGTCACATTAACATGAGAGAAAAGCTGGACGCGGAAATGAATGTCAGCGCAACGCCGATCTGGCACCAGCTCCTCAGGGCCGAGGCAGAAACAATGTTTCCGCAATTTTACCTTCCTAATGACCGCAACCTGCTCATTTAGCAGTATTGATTAAAATAAAGCACATATTTTAGCTCCATTACATTCAGTGCCGGGGAAGAGTGGGGGGTAGTTAAGGAGCTCACTGAGTGATTATTGGTTATTGACCCGCTGGTCATTCATCTCCATTAAATAATGCACAACATCCACTGGCTTCCCCTCATGGTCTTCAATAACGGGCATCAATTTTCTGATGACAAAACATGGAGTAAAATCATTAGTGCGCCCATAGCATGAAAGACTCCGAGGTAATCAGTGAAGGAGTAAAAGAGGACACTTGAGAAATTAACTTTGAGCGAGGGCTTTAAGGCGTAACGTGCAGGAAAAAGAGGAATGAGATGGAGGAGGTGAGAAACAGATGGCAATCGCCAATCATTCATTCAGTTCGCAGTTGTGGAGAAAATCAATTAGTGAAGCACAAAAAAGTGGGAAATTTGCAGAAGACAAGCCCGTTTTAGGCTTGTGAGCAGCAGAAAGCGGGATATTGGAGGTTTTTCAAAATTAGGTAAATAAGAAAATCGGTTCCTGCAAGGTAATAGTTGCTAACTACGTCTCCTTTCAATCTAAAGGTGAATATAAATATTTCCTCTGTAATAACAACTTTCATTTTTTAATAGCCTTTGCAGTAAAACTGCTAAGGAAGGATTTTCAAATCAGTTTCAATGCAAAAATATCTTTAGACACAATGTTGGCAACCTGTTCTACATCTATACCTATTATCATGGACCTCTTGACTAATTACTTCAGTCTATATATATATATTAATCATTTAAGATGTTTTATCTTATGTTAGATTGATATACAAATTCTTGTTTCTCCTTTTTTAAATTTAACGTGTGAAAATGTCCTTATTTATTATTTTTATTATTTTTAATACTGTAGTAAAGCCTTAGAAATCCTAATTCTCGGATCAGTTTAATTATAAACATTTCAATAAGAATGTATTTCTCTGCATTTCACTAACAGAGGTGATTAGGAACGTTCCTGTCAGGAACATTTGACGACCTCAGACGTTTAAGATTAGACATTTGCTAATACCGCTAGTCCCGTTCAAGTGTGCGTTAATGAGATTAACTTAATGCTTTCTTTAAGCTTGACAATTAACTAACTATAAAGTGCAGATAATACCAAAACTTCATCGGTATTATATGGTCGACATCAGCCCTGTGATTGTGCAAACTTCAATTACTCACCATTGATTCTCAGGTCTCTAGTAGATTTTTTCTGTACAGTAACCAATATTTGTCCTAACTGCTGTTTCTCCAGGGTTTTTTTTTTATATATATATTTTTCTCCAATATTAAAAGTTTAAGCTATGATACTGTCCTGACGATGCATCAGGAGCATAGCTTTATCATTTGTTTGGAACGAATCTCTTCTGTTTTTGTGCAGCACCATTAGGCTGCTAAGCTAATGTCGGCGTGATTGCTATCTGTTTTGATTGCTGGTAATTTTGTTTGTAGCACTTCAGTTTGGTTACATTAATTGTGTGAGAAGACTTACAGAGAAGACTTACATTTCTCCTATTTCATACATAAACTTAGCGCTTAGCTTGCAACATTGTAAAATATAATTTAGTACATCTTTTGGATGTTAACATTTTCTCAGGCAGCTGAGCCAACATAGTTAAGTCAGTATTTTGGACACAGATGTATAGAAACTAAATCCAAACCTGAGATCTGATTGTTCCCACAGGTTACGCTATAATACTATGTACACCGCTAAGTAGGACGGCAAAAAAAAATCTTAAATCCAGCAGCTTTTTTATTATTTTGTACATGGAGGAGCCATATTGCATGTTGAGTTTTGGGCTTGTGACAAAGAGAAGTTGTAATTGAACCAACTCAGCTGATTTTTAGCTCAGAAAATCAGACTTTCAATCACAGACAAAGGTATCATCATGTGTTTCTCTTAAATCTTTTATAAACATAGTGCAGTCCAACCTCTACTGGCAATCATTATGGTACTTGAATTGAAACAAATGCAAGATAATAGTAAAATTTAAAAAAAAAAAATTACCGTGACTGATTTAGGTCTAAAGTAATCTTTTAAATTCAAAGAATTACTGTCCAGTAGTGACATTACCATTTTGGATGGGAAGAAGGCATTGGAGCACAATACTAAAGAAAGATTGTCAAAATAACATCAGTAATTATATTCCGTAATTTTTTCTATTGTTTACTAAAAAGTGTATTCATTATTTTTATATGCTATTTTGAATAAAATGTAAAGTAAAACTGGTATTTTTTTCAAAGTATATACAGCAGGGATCAAGATAAGGGTGTAAAGTTTTTCATAAATAAATAAATACATAAAAAATTATATTATTTAGTTTTTGCTCGTGTATATACTGTTGATCAAACAAAGCATTTCCAACTGTTAAAAATCTTCATACTACGGTAGTTACTATGCAAACGGTCATATTTTATTCATCGTTATGTTACTCGATTTGAAAGTCAAAATTAATCATTTGCCACAATCATTTACTCCGGCAGTGAAGCTGACCTGGTACAAGATTACTATTTTCCACTCCATCCCATCTCTCCTACACACAGGATTCTAGCTTTCAAATATCTGCAGAAGTGTAGGGAATTTGATTTTCATTTAAAAAAAAAGGAAAAAAAGAGAAAATAGTCTGAACATTTGTTTCAATTTTAAGACTTCAATCTCGATTCAGTGGCCTACAAATTCCATCCGTCCGTCCGTCCATCCATCCATCCATCCATCCATCCATCCATCCATCCATCCATCCATCTATCCATCCATCCGTTGCTCTATCTTCCATTTTTAGATAACTCTTGTATCTATACTTATGAGTGGAGAAATATGTAGGAACCCTTTAGAAGGTCTTGTTTAAAGAGTACAAACAAAAACGAAGTAACGCTTCTTGAAGTGTCTCAGACATCGAAGCGCTAAATAGGAGTTTATTTGTCTCCTAAATATGCTCAGATCAGCTACAGGCTCAGAAAAAGCTTAATGTGTCTGATCCCTTTAGACATGTTTTAGTAGAACTCTGCCTTTCAGCAGAGCTTCATTAGATAGATGATCCCTAATAATGTGCAATGGAGGGTTAAAGGATGAACGTGCACTGATCTCAGTCTGCTGTCTTTGGGCCATACAGCAAAAAAAAGAAAAAAAGAAAAGAAATGGGAATGTCTTTATTTAAATGTGTTCTTTCAACAAACCAACAATGGCATGCAGTTAATGTGGTTATGGTTTGCTGTAAAATGTGTAGAGCAAGTAGCAGAATGACGAGACCTCAAATGCGTCACTTTGGCCCTGAGACCGGATTCAGCGTGGCATAATGGGACAGACAGCTTTAGATGGGGGAAAACAAACCAACAGGAAGGGAGAGCAGAATATCTAGTCCTCTCTACCTCTCTCTGTCTTGGTCTCCTGGAAAGATAAAGGGTTAAAGACATCTTAATTTGCTTTCATTAAATGCATCTGGATGATGGCTAACAGTAAGTCATCAAGGACCATTAATAGTTAATAGAGGACTATCTCCTGGTTGCAGAAATTTCCTCATTCTAATAATGGAAAAGGTGATAACTAGTTTAAAAATACCTCAGTGCTACACTGACACCAAGTCACATTTCTTTTCTTGTGTTTTTGCAAAGCTACAGTAACAGTCATCTCTACCATGAGTAAATATTTCACCAACAAACAGAGGAATGAAAACTCCTTCGTCGAGTGATGGTCAGGGTTGAGTTCTGACGTGAGCGTTGATGTGTAGGCGAACTATGAGCACAGCACAGTCAGGAGAAGAGTCAGAACGTGTTGTTCATTTCGTAAGAGCCCTGTTTAAAATGCATTTGAGACTCCTCTGCATATTAAAATGGAAATGACAGAGCTGTTTTACATTTCTGGACAGAGACAGTCACGACCGTGGGCAGTGGGCAGTCTGTCTGCGGTTGTGCCTGAGTGAATCACCCCCACAGGTGAGATGTGCAGGGGTCAGACCGGCAACAATTTCCCCAACAGATAAAAGACTCATCTGTTAAAAGCTCTTCCTCATTTTCTGCCATGAACACGAAGGACCATCCATGACCAAAACATATTTGATGATTCACCAAGGACTCATCATCATCTTGTTTTGTTATTTTATGTTTTGCAAATGGCGGCTCATTTTCACGGGTCGATGGTGGTGATATGCTTTCATCTGTCCTAAAGTTTAATCCTCAGCAGATGTGTTTTTTGCACGAAGGGACCAAACAGCATCTGACTGATGCTGTTTGCTGCTTTATGATAACTTTGTTGATCACAAGAGGCTTTGAAATTTTGCACCATGCATCTGATGTGTGCATTGCACCTGTTGAGCCATCTATTTTATTATCGCTAACAGGATAAACTTGTGTGACCTCAATGAGTCCCATGTGGCCACAGTTTGCCTGAAAGATTCAAGGGACCACTGCTGGTAGGTGTGGACTCAAGAGGAGATGCAGATGGGCTTTCCATTTTTGTCGTACTGGTACACCAACATCTTGATGCAGTGAGAGTTGGCTGGCGAAATCCAAGGGCTGCTTGTGATGGAGAAGTTGTGACTGGCGTAAAATGGCTTCGGCTGCTTCCGGCAGTGGATGAGGGCTCGGAGCATGTTGGTCGCCATGGCCCGGAAACGCTTGCTGATGAAGCAGTAGAGGAAGAAGTTGACGCCAGTGTTGAGCAGCGCAAGCATGTTTGCCACGTCGGTGAGCACGTGGAGCAGGCGGCCGGCGCTTTGTGAGGTGGGTGGCGGAGAGTAGAAGTGGTAGAGGATCAAGACGGTGCGCGGAGCCCACAGAACTGCAAAAACAGAGGTGATGGCGAGGAGAATGGCGGTGGTCTTGCCGGTGGAATAGCCACGCAACCTGAAGCAGTTGCGGCGCTTTCGCAGCTTCCGCACGATGCCGGTGTTGAGGGAGAAGAAGACGGTGCAGGGAAGGAGGTAGACGGTGGCGCAGTGAGCCCAAACTAGGACGTGCTCGGCCACTGTTCTTCTGCTGCTTTCTCCTCCGCCTCCTCCTCCTTCATCGCTTTTGCCCACCCCGGGTAGACTGTGCCAGAACTCAGGCCACCAGTAGTAGGGTGCGGCAGATAGCAAACAGCCGACGTACACCGCAAATATCACCTTGCGTGTTCGAGCGGGGTAGGACACCGTGTGGTAGCGAAGTGGGTGGCAAACAGCGATGTAGCGGTCGATGGTGAGAGGCACTGTTATCCAGATGGAGGTGTGGATTGAAGAGAACTCCAGAACCTGCACTGCGTTGTTTATGGATGGAGGGAGGAAGGAAGCCAAGATGAAATCCTCCAGGATGAAGTCAACAAACACAATGAGGAGCAGAACAAGGATGTCAGCAGCAGCCAGAGCCAGGAGATAGTTGTAGGAGGACTTCTGACGACGCAGCACCAGCTGGGACAGGATAACCACAGTCAGGATGTTAGCTGGGAGTGGTGAGCAAGAGGGTGATTGAAGGAATTGGGAAAATGGTGGTGAAGGTGGAAAAGAAATGGGTATAGGTTAGGGCAGGGAGGGAAACAGAGAGATTGATTGTTAGTGGACTCTGGTGATTGCAAACAGCCAGCAATAAACAACACAGAAATGCAGGAGCAGCTAACGGCGACAGAAATGCTGCAGACACTGACGCAAGTTGCACAGAACAAAAGCATGCAAGCAATTTTAATATGAACAAGTGAAAAAAAATATTCTGCCAAGCTTAAAGTGTGCCAACCCTGTCTGTCTTGGTTCCTCCTATCTGATTCTTCGCTTCATTGACACCTGCTGGGTAATTCCAGGAGCAACTGCATCTCCCTTTGGCCAGATTGTTATCTCCAATCAGGAGTAAAGTCACAACACAGTGACAAGGGCAACATGCAGCCTCACAGTCTTGGCAGTACTGTCTGCCGTCCATTCGCCTGTGATTTAGCTTCTGAAATGAAGCTCAAAGTCAAGCCACCTCCCCCAGTCTGCCTCACCTTCGGATCGATGGTTTCACCCAGAAATAATCGTTAAACATTTTCACTGATGTTGACAAAGATCTTTGGCCAATTTGCATCTACCTTGCATTCGTAGGTCAGATGGTGTTGGTAAATTAAGAGTTTTTGAAAAAAAAAAAAAAATCAGAAAACACTCGGAAAGCCTTACATTTTTCATAAAATAGGATGAAAAATACAATTGATAAGAGGAACACCTCCACATTTATTCACACTTAAAATGGTTAAATCCCACACAGGTGTTATATTAGGTGAGTGTCATTGGAGGACCTTTACTAAGTATTTTGAAAGCCACTCATTCCTTATACTTAAATATTTTGCTTCGACAGTCAACGTAATCCTGACTGTTGAAGCGAAAACGAACACCATTGTGACAGCTGTAGAGCTGTTTGAAGCCATAAGAAAGAAAATTGTAGCAGTTTAATTGTCTATTATTAGATAAGGGACTTAAATAGGTCTCAAAACAATTTGAAAAAATGGAGGGCATTAAAAACAACTGCCAACATGCCCAGGGCAGGCAGTATGCGTGAGTTTACCTTCAAAGCTGGCTGTAAGAAGCCTCTACGTCTGTGTAAATGAAAATGTGAGGACATTTGTGAAAAATGAAAGCCAAGTAGCGCTTGACCCAATAGCATAAAGATGGCCCAAAACAAAGCAATAAACAGACTCAAGTACTGGGCTGAGTTTTGAGATTATCAACCTTTTGAAACAAGATATACATGTACGAATGTACCGATGTCAGAAATTATGAAGTCACTACAATTTTAAGGACAGTCAAATTTCTTTTAAGTCATTTTTGATTCAGCACTTTCATAACAACTGAGGGTAGCCTAGTAATTTCATTGCGATATAAATGGCGTATTGGCTCTTATTTAAGTGCAATTCACTGTGAAAGGGTATAACCATTTTGTGGGATGTATAAAGAATTTCAAAATATTACAATTTTGGATTTTTTTTTCTTCACAAACATTTACAAACAAATTCATAAATACCTTAAAATGATAACTTGTGCTTCAGTTGCCCAGCTAACAAAAACACTGTAAGTACTGTACCTGTCCTCTTTTCAGTGAATAAGACGAATATTTCAATGCAACCTGTTGGCACCGTGTCAAGTCATGTCCAGTGAGTTACCTCAAACAGAGACACTTCTGACATCCTACTGCAGCTTCAGAGACATTAATCCACTTAGCAGCCATCACTGTACATGCAAGCTTGTGTGATCGTGTCCCTGTCTGCAATAATGCATCTGGGATTGGATTAAATATGGCAGCTTGGAGTCTGGGAGATCACACTTCACAGCCTCAGCCACTATCCAGTGATTACAAATTACAAAGATGGCTCTGGATAATGATTAAAGATGTGCTTGGAAGGCTGGGAGGTTGTGCAGCAGAGTGCGCACACATCAGCAAGTGCTGGACTCTGAACATGTGCACACAAACAGATCGTCAGAGACGAGCCAATTCATTAGGGTCTGATCTATCAATAACCATAAATGACATGCCGAAGCTGTTTGGAAGATTTAGCACACCAATACATAAAGGGCTACTGAATGCTGCACCCTCCAGCTTGGTTAATATCAAGAAAAGGATATGGAAAATCATCTTTAGCACTGAGTTTTCTGGAAGATTTGAATATTTTTTTTCATAAAATGTTGCTGTATTCTATTAAAAATAAGTATTTTGGTTATGTTTTTGTGGTTTCTAACAGATATAACATGACTGCACTCCACATTTGATTTGGAAAGTAATTAGGTGTATTTCACGCATAATTCTTTCACAAAAATACTGAATTAAGTTTTTGTTGGCAGCTTTTATTCTGATGTTATGTCCAATGCTTGTCCTTGGTCACAACTTATTTGGCAGTGGCTGCACAATTAAAGATAAAGGACATGTGAAGAACAAAAGAAGAAATGTTAAAACTTCAGAAAGTCATATCTCCTTTAAGTCATGCTTCAGGTATTTGCTGGCTTTTTGTCAAGTTTCGACACAAGAGAGAAGAAAAAAATGAAATTCAGAAGGTGGAACTCTTTTTCTCATGGGCTGTGTCTGTTAATTTTTCTTTTGCAGAACAAATTTTACATATCTTCTTTCTGGTTAAGACCGTTTTACAAGATTATACATCAACCGGCTCCCTCGGCATCAAAACATGAATAAATTAGGTGTGATTTAAACCTTTTTCACAGTTTTCTGCATTTAAAATGGTATCATCCTTTGGGACTTTGACAGCACTTTGCCACAGGGATGGCAAAGCAACAACAAGAAGAAGAAAAAAAGGTTAATCATAATTTCATTGATTACTTCCTTCCTATCAGATTTGATAATAGTGTCAAGTCCTTTGGTTGACTAATCAAATAAAATGGTTGTTCTGATGCAACAAATGACTCAATACACTATATGATGGATCATTAGGGATTTTTTTTAGTGTCTCATCAACATATTTGATTTTATGTAAAGAGTCATTGTTGGTTGTTATGTAACAAAAACTCAATCCAATATCCTCAAAGCTAATAGGATGACTCTTTTATCCATGTAATTTTGTATTAATTTTGTATTAAACAGCCTTGAAAAGCTCTTGTCACATCCACACACCTCAATGTGACAAACTAACACAAAGCAGAACATAATTATGGAAGGAAAATGATGCATGTTTTTATTAGTTTTTAGAAATGATAAAATTATTACTTTGTATTTGTATTCACACCCCTTTTCTCTGACAACCGTCGCATACGATTCTTCAGAAGCCACACTTCTAAGTAGATAGGGCCCACGTGTGTGTTCGTTAGTCTCGGTGGAAATCCAACAGTTCTGGGAAGACTTCAGGGGTTTGTTTGAGAACATTAATGAACAAACAGCATTGAGATCAATAGACACAACAGACAGACAAAGGAGAAAGTTGGGGAGACCATAGATACGTTATAAAACAATAACCCAAACTTTCGTTAGTCCATTGTCTGAAAGCAGAAAGAGAATAACAACTGCAAGTCCACATAAGCATCCACCCAAACCTACAGACTGGGTGAACAAAGCATCAATCAGAACAGCTGCTAAAAGTGCCACAGGTCATTTGGGAGAAAATACTGACAGGAAAACTAGGTGTGCACTCCACAAATCTGGCCTGTAGAGAGGAATGCCAAAAAGAAAGCTGTAAGATGTTGCATTTCAGTTTGCCACAAGTCACAAAGAGGATGCAGCAAACATGTGGCAAAAGGTGCTCTGGTCGTATGCAACCTGTAAACAAAGTGCTGTGTATTCACTGAACAAACCATCTCAGTGAAACATGGTGGCAGTCAGTGGTCAGGGGTAATATTAAATAAATGGAGGTAGCAATCCTGGAAGAAAACCTTTTACTCAGTAAAGCCTTGAGTTTGCAGAGGTTTAAGTTTCAGCAGGACAAAGACCCTGAACATACAGCCGTGTTACAACATGACGATGTGGGTTGAAGAATGTTCACCCATTAAAAAGTGAAAGCCCAGAAAAAAAAAAAAAAATCCAATTAAACAGATGCCCACGGGCAATCTCCATCTCCATCCAATCTGACAGAGCTTGACATGTTTGCTCCAGATTTGTTGCTGTCATTGCAGCAAAAGCTGGTTCAATAAAGTATCGACTCTGAAGGGATGAATACCAAATACACCTCACACCTTCCAGATTTTTATTTATGAAACTGGACAATTTTGTGCTACTTCGGGTTTGTGCACCGTACATTTCAAATCCTCTCTCTCTCTGTAGTATCTCCATCTATCAGAGCACTTGCAGTTGAAGTGACATAAAATGGGGAAATGTGAGATATTTACTGTCCCTGCCTGCACGTTATTCTGTTTGGGCTGCAGCAGGGGCCCTCTACAGATGAACAAAAGGGATCTCTTGCGAGCTTGACATTTTCCATTTAGCTGCAGCCGCCCTGCAACGGGGTTGCCCATCCATTTCAATTGATTCCTTTTTTTTTTTTTTTTTTTTTTTTTACGTTGTCTTTGTGGATCTGCTTGGCATTTAGCAGGGATGTTGGCGCAGAGGCCAGGTTTGTCTCAGCGGGGAAAGCCGAGGCGCTACACACAAATCATTCTCACAGATTGATGAATCCAAAGTTTCACCTTCTTTGTTTAGTTAAAAAAACAAAAACAAAAACAAAAAAAAAAAGCAAAACCAAAGCATCTCCAACTGAGAGGAAAAATAAAACACGGGCTTTATCAGACCTCATTTTGCTTTTGATTGTGCATTTGTCAAGGTGGGTGTTTGTGTCTCCTCTCCCCCTGCTGCTCTACATTATAAGGACATCCATGGCCATTGACGTTGTGTAGCAGGAAGGGAGAAGACACAGCGTGCTTCCTGATGCGTGTAACGAGGCTGACTCATCCCGCCATTAGAGGCGGGCTGTCGACATATGACCCTGCACCGTTCAATCCAGAAAAACCAAAGTCAGAAACATGAGTGACTGAGGGTTGCTCTTGGCTC